TCAATGATATCAATTGTTTCATCATTAAACTTCGTTGAGAACGAATTTGCGAACTTGTTGGCTTTATTGATGAAAATTTCTGTTATTTTTATAAGTGTTACCTTTCTTCCTTCTGTTTGACTTTTAAAGGTGCCAAAAAATCCTTCAACAATATTGTTTGTAAAATCGGAAGTCATTTTACCAGTAAATTCAGGTAACCAACTAAATTTTGTTGCTTCAAGTTGTTGAATAAATATCTTTTTTTCTGATGCCATAACAGTATTTGTTGAATGTTGTTTACCAGTTTCGCAATAATCAATAAATTCTTTAAATAACTCATTGTTTTCGACCAATTTACCTTTAAGTATTATTTCAGAATCTTCACATTTATAAAGAGAAATGTAATTCAAAAAATCAACACTGTTGATTTCACCACGAATTAGCCTTTTATATCGTTTCAACATTCCTGAGTGTTTTCCAAATACTGTAATTATATTGCGACGAATATGTCTATAACAATACACAATTTTAACACCTGGAAAGACGTTTCAAATGGCAGAAGATTCTGCTGCTGATCTATCGACAATAAAACATTCAATGTTTGAATGACGATATCTGATAAAAGATAGAAAATCAGTTTAATATAAAGTAAAACGGTGCCTAATAAATCCAAAAGCAATAATTTGTGTATGATTATTTATTTATTACAATTATTTTTGAGTTGCATTTATATTGTTCTCTATACACATATAAAAACGAAAATGTTTTTCTTTCTTTTCCTGTGTTTTTGGCGTTAAAAAGTGAAAAACAACTTCCATCTATTTCAACTCGGGTTGATTCTGTTATTTCTTTGGTTGTTGTATTTCTTGTTATTGTATCAGATACATCCTTTAATTTGTTGATTAAATAAATTGGTGTTGTATTTTTTCAACATTTAAATCATTTGAAGTTGTTTGTTTGTCGTCCATTGTTTTTAAATAAAATTTCGTTTTTTTGTTGTAATATAAGTTTCGCTTTCAATCAAATGGTTTTTTGGAAGTGATTTTATTTTGTCTTGTAATATAATCTTTAAATCAAGTTGATCATTACGAGGATTTTTCATTTAATAATATTAAGTAGTAGAATATAAATTCTGTGGATTTAGGGGGGACATCATTTTATCTATATTTTATAATACTTTATCTAAACGCGAAAGACGCGAATATGAATTTTTCCAAAATTCCGGATTAAAGAGTTCTAATATTTTTTATTATTTTTTTTATTATTTTTTTAATTTTTTCTAAAATGAGCACAACACAAGAATACAGATTAAATAATTTTATCAATTTACTAATAACTATTCCAAGAAGATTTTTTGAATTGTTTCACAATTAAATCAGGAACTATTAAATCAGCATCTACTAAAATTAATAACAAAGAAAATTGTAGAAAAGAATTAATTGCTATGGACATTGAAACAAGAGATTTATATTTACATTTTAAAGTAAAATTAGAAGCTCAATTAAAAAGAATTGAAGACAATAAGAAAAGTTCTATTAAATTAGAACAACCATTTTTAATAAAAGTTTTCAATAAAATAAACAAAACTGACAAATAAACT